GCACCGGATGCGGCCGTGACGTGCTGGAGGTGGGGCAGAGACGCTCGTTTGCCCGCGGCGTTTCCCGGCTTCGGTGCCCATAGTGTGTTTCCCCATTCCGTGTTTGTTTGGGGCCCGAGAGGAAACTTGCTCGTGTGCTTAAATTCGGTTGCGTGGTTTGAGTGCCGTTTGCCGGTGAGCGCGCTGGCGTAGCTGGGGTCCTTTGCTTGCTCATGCGCTGGCGTAGTACAGTGATTAAATGGACGAGGACTTTGTGCTAGGGTGGTTTTGGAGGTTTTTTTCCTTTCCCTTACAAAAGATTGCGTTATACTCTATCTGTACAATGTATTTGGGCTGTATTTGTGAATTTTAATAAAGCTTGAAATGCACAAATAAAACTTAAATTGATGAAGGTGACATTTCCGTAGGCTGCCTCACCCCTAATTAGAACTTCTTTAGGTAGTCTCAACAAGTTTGGTATGTTTGTCGTAGTTTTTTCTGGACATAATCCCGCAAATTATGCTCCTGCAGACTGGAATTTATTATCCTTCCATGAAGCATGAGTGACTAATAATCTTCCTAGTTTGGGTTAGTTAAGCAGCTAACTCATGTAAATATTCCTGACTTGAAAGGATATAAGGAGGAAAAGTGACAGAACCTATTTGGCAGTTTAGTGGGTTAACTAATAAATAGGTTTTTGATTTTTAAAATTCTTTTTAGTTATCCCTCTTTGCAGATGGACTGAGTCGCTGCAGTGACTGTGGTTTATGGTGCTGTGGTTTTGTGTGTTCTGATAGAAAACAGAATTTCCCAGCATGTGGAAAACAAGTGGCTTTACCTCTGATGCCTTGGTTGAGCACTCCCTGGGGATGCCAGATGACGTAGCTGAGTGTTTGCAGGTTCTGGACAGCTGAAAGAAATAACAAATGACCAGAAGTGAAAACCAGCTTTATTGGTTTTGCCTTTTTGTATATTGCCTTTTAGAATGAAACTGTCAAGCATAGTTCTAAGAGGAGTTTGATCTATCTTAGGGAACTGAGGGCTTTTGATTTGGAGGTACAGGACTGTCAGGGCACAGTCCCAGTTTGAAACGGACACATTTCCTAGCTTTGCTGGTAGCTGCTGAAAAACTCAGAGCTATCCCGCTTTTTCTTGGTTTTCCTTCTACTTGTTGCATTGTGTGTGGTGGTTACAGGCTTTGAGAGGCTGCAGTTGGTGAGGCATTGTGCAGAATTACACTGATGGACCCCAATTTCAGCGTCCTGCACTGCAGTCCTTTGGGGCCTCTGCAGTCATTCCAGGGCTGTGGAACTGCTTGGGGCTCACCCCTTCCAGACTGAGTGTGCCCTGCTTTGAAACACCTGTGGCGTTTTCAGTTCAATCCCAGTGAGCTGGCAAGATTTGTGAAGTATGTAACTTCATTTTTGTATGAATGAGATGCTGTGAGGTGGTTTCAGATAAACTCGCTGGAGGTCGAGGGAGTTCTGTCTCCTCATTGGTGTTGCTTGTTGCATTGCCTGGTCTGTGCTGTCTCTTGGAGCCTGTACCTGCTGATGTGTGTGTCAGGATATTTCTTGCTTTGTTCATCCTGGTACTTAGATGTAAATCTGGTTAAGGAGAATTTTGTATATAGCCAGGAACAGTAATTCTCAGTTTAGGAAGGATGCAACTACATATTCCTAAGTACCAGTATTTTTGTGATACTTTATAATAAACTTGTAAGTGATATGTCAAGATGTTGAGTTAATATATGAACAGTTAATATGAATATATGAGTAGTTTCCTTCCTACTTTAATAAACAATATACATAAATTGTAAAAATTAGCTTTTCGCATAAGAAATTCTGTGTCATCAAGGTTGTACAAAGAATTAACTCTCCAGTGCTCTTCACACTGTGAGAAGAGCTACAAGGTTAATGTTGCTGTTGTGGAGAAAAGTGTAACTAGCTAGGTTATTTTAATAGCTTTATTTTCAAACTAGATTTCCTAAATTTGTTGCTGTTCACAGTACAGTTTTTTGACATGACTTCTGGAATAAATTGTAAAGATACCTATTTGTAGTGATTAGATTTTGATGTGTTGTAGGAATCTTAGGCAAGCTTTAAAAATAATTTTTCTTAAAACATTTCTGTTAATATTTAGCTTCTTCAGAGATGATTAGATAACTGAAAAAATCTATACTTTTTAAAATTTTCTTTCGCAGACAATGATTTGCAAGGAACAAATAGTTCAGGATCATTGGGTGGTCTTGATGTCCGTAGAAGAATCCCTATAAAGCTTATTTCAAAGCAGACCAATAAAGCCAAACCTGCGCCTCGAACTCCAAGAAATATGAACAGGATGCCTGCGAAGACACAAGCTGGTGATGAAGGTAAATTCATGTAAATTCCCTGTAGTAGGGAAGTGTATTATTCCACAGCATTGTTTGAGACTTTACTCAGAGACTGAAGAGTCCAGGGTGCTGTCCAAACACAAAGCAAATTTCAAATTTCCAAGTACTGCTGCACTGTAGAGCTTCAGTAGTGCCCGTTTCCAAAACAGGCTGTCTTACTACGTTGGTTCTACCTTTCTGTAGAATGGGCTCAGCAGATTGGAAGTGCTGTGGCATTTTTGATGATTTCAGTAGAAGTGACCCATGCTCTTAATAGCAGCTGCTGTCAGTTACGAAAGTGTTGTGGTTGGCTCGTGTCTTTCTTCTCTTTCTCCTTTCCACAGAAGAATTTGATTATAACAAGGAGGAGCGATACGAATGTAAAGGAGGTGAAATGTTTGGCAACCAAAGGAGATTTCCTGGACCTATTTTTTGGGATTATAAGGTAAAGTCATGAATCTTTGCCTGTGTTTCATACCAAGTTGTAGATAGTCGTGGTAGATACTTTGTTAATTAAAAGTTTTTCAGTTGTTTTTGGTCTGACTAAAATGACATCCTCTGCTTTCTCCTGTTTGTGGCGTTCTTGCTTCCTTTTCAACTAATTCAGAAATAATGGGTGTGTTGATGATAATTGAAATTAGAAGCTTTTGTGATGTTGGGGTTTGTTTTCTCACCTCCTTCTCTGTCCTACCAGATAAACTTGCTGGGGGAGAAGGATGATACACCAGTTCATTTCTGTGATAAGTGTGGATTGCCCATCAAAATGTATGGACGCATGGTGAGTGAAATTACCAGGGGAAGATGCAGCCATGGTTTCCCTTTAGATAAAATGAGGTTTTACTTGAGGCTTCTGGAGATCACTGATTTCAACAGGCATCTGAATAAACAGCAGAATAGTACCAGGATGGAGCTGGAGGCCTTCATTGCTCAGGTGTTTTTGTTCCATCTGTCTGACTGATTTTTCTTTACCCCCAGATTCAATACAGTAAACCTGAAAATGTTAAACAAAAAACAGAACACCATCACAAAGAAAAAGCCTTCAGTTTCTGGGGTGTTGACCTTACACTACTTTGGTTTGAAAATAAGCTTTTTATCTCAGTTGAAGACTTGAAGTGAAGTTAGAAAACACTGTTCACTTTTATGTACCTTTAAAACTCCCTGAGATTAATTTAGATTTGTAAGTATGATGTAACAGGCTTCAGCATGTGACTTAATGACAGTTAATGCTTTTAGAACTTTCCTTCCTTGCCAGCAAGACAAGTATAATCAGATTGCACGTGCAGCTTCTGTGAAAGTTCAGTGTTGGTAGTAGTGCAAGACTCAAACTTCTGCCAGTGTTTTTTACCAACACTTAACCCCAAACAACACCACCCCAAAAAAAAACCCAAACTCATCATAAACTGTTCCAGAAGGTTTCTGTGCAAAGATGCTGTAAATTGTTAACCACTGCTATGCTTCTTCACCTCATTGGTAACTTAGTTACTTTATTATAAGCTGTGTACTGGAGGGAGGAACTGTATTCTGCAGAATGACATAGATATTTATGCACGATGTTTTAACAGAAATGTTTTATTTTAGATACCTTGCAAGCATGTTTTCTGCTATGACTGTGCTATACTACATGAGAAAAAAGGAGACAAGATGTGTCCAGGGTAAGTTATCTCAAGATTTGTTATTAAAGGAAATGTAAGAAAGTAACTTAAATATCTAATTTCAGATACTCTATTCATGACTCTTATTTATGTACATTTAGTAGAGGCAGTAGAGTGCTCTGAACTTTCTTGTTCCTATTCCATATTTTGGGATTGTAAGAGATCAGTGTTTACTTTGTTGGTTTTGGGTAGGTAACTTGTTATTGCTGTAATTTGAAAAGGAATTAATGGCAGTTTGATTTACTTAGTGAAAATGACCCATGTTATGTTTTAAAGTACAGAAGAATTTGTTTGAGAGATGGTACTTAAAAATTCTACCTCATGACATTTTTATGTTTTATGACATTTTTATGTTTTTTATGTTTTATATTCTTTCATAGTTACATTTCCATATTTATAAACTAGGTAAACTTGAAAATAATTGAAAAGTTTCTTTCATTGCTACAGTGGGGCAAAATTGTCAGTTCTAATTTGGCTAATTACATTAGCAAGGAAGAATGCATGTTGAGCTCCCTGTGATGATAATAAATCGATATTCTCTTTTAATGTAGCTGTAACGAACCTGTGCAGCGAATCGAGCAGTGCGTCCGAGGGTCTCTCTTCATGTGCAGCATTGTTCAAGGGTGCAAGAGAACTTACCTGTCACAGAGGGACTTACAAGCTCACATCAACCACCGCCACATGAGAGCTGGCAAGCCTGTTACCCGTCCTGCCATCGAGCCCGTGCACCCTCCCATCGCCCCGCCGCCGGCCGAGAT